CAGCCTCCTGAGGCCTCGACCTGGGAGTCCGAGTCCGATATGTGGAGCCGTTATCCCCATTTTTCCTCCAACTCAGGTACTTCCTTCTTCTATCCGTTTGAGGACGAACGGTTGTTTTAGAGGTGGAGAATGTGATGACCCAAAAGGTCATCACTTGCTTTTAAATTGGATTCTGTGTTCTAAGGCCTTAAAAACCTCTTTTAGCATTGCCTCGATTTGCGTGCGTAGTCCGGGTGTGTAGCCGGAAAGCTTAAATGAGAAAATCTGTGAAAAATGATAAATTTTGACTATAAAATGAATTAATTTGACTTCGGTCAATATTTTGGGAAACAGACCCGGACCTGTGATGTGACGGTCCCGGAGGGTCCGCAAGAAAATATAGGACTTGGGCGTATGCCCAGAATCGAATTCCGAGGTCCCAAGCCCGAGAAATGAATTTTTTAAAGAAAATTATTTTCTGAAATTGTTTAAAGGATTTGGAAATAAATTTTGATCAGAACATGTTGGTATCGGGCCCGTATTTTGGTTCCAGCGCCTGGTACAGGTCTTATATGCGATTTAAGATAATTCTATGAAGTTTGGTAAGAAACGGAATCCGTTTGACGTGATTCGAGCCTTAATTGCAAAATTTGATGTTTTAAGAAGTTTGAAATATTTTATTGATTTTGAGGTTTAATTCGTTGTTAACGATATTAGTTTGGCGATTCGATCGCACGGATAAGTTCATATGATATTTTTGAGTTAGTACGTATGTTTGGTTTGGAGCCCCGAGGGTTCGGGTGAGTTTCTGATGTGTTTCGGAAGGTCTTTTTGGAACTCAAAAGTTGCAGGTTTTTCCAGTTTCTGGTGTGCTGATACTTTCTTCTTCTCGTTCGCGGGAGGACCCTTGCGAACGCGATGTGTTATTTGTGCTGAAGGAAAATTCCTTCTACGCGAACGCGTAACCCAGGTCGCGAACGCGAAGCTTTGGGGGGTCTTCCCTTCACGAACGCGGTCCTGGCAACGCGAACGCGAAGGCTAATTGAGCCTGGACAGGGGAGAGGTATTAAACCTACGCGAACGCGACCACATGGACGCGAACGCGAAGGCTCGAGGGGTCGCTTCTCCGCAAACGCGAGCCGTCTTCCGCGAACGCGAAGGCCTAGAAGGCCTAACCCATCGCGAATGCGATGAACAATTTCACCCAGTTATTTTATGTTTCAAAAACAGAACACATTACGGGATTTTCATTATTTTTCACAAGCTTCATCTTCTCCACACCTCTTGGGCGATTTTCGAAGAACTCCTTCACCATAACCTCTTGGGTAAGTAATCCTTGACTTGTTTTCTTTCATTTTTATCAACACCCACTAGATTTCTAGGCCTAAAACATGAGATTAAGGGTAGAAAATTAGGGATTTGGGTAGAGTTAGGGCTTTTTGATTATTTGAAAATTTGACCTCGTTTTGGGGTTGGGTTTCAAAACAAATTATATATTCGGGCTCGTGGGTGAATGGGTGATCGGGTTTTGGTCCGAACCTCGTGTTTCGACCAAGCGGGCCAGGGGTCAATTTTTGACTTTTTGGGAAGAATGATTAGAAAGATATAATTAAGTATTGGGATTGGATTGTTTAGCATATATTGATGTTGTTAAGTCGATTATGTATAGATACAATTGATTTGGAGCCAAATTCAAAAGGAAATGCGGTGTTTGAGGATTGAGTTGGCCGTGGAAGTTCGAGGTAAGTGTTCGGTCTAACCTTAGCTTGAGGGATTAGGAGTTGAGTCTTATTTGCTATTTGCTTCTTGTTGAGTACGACGTATAGGCATGGTGACGAGTATCTATACGTTGGTGTCGAGCATGACCGTGAGTCTTAAATTGATATTGTTGTGTTCTTCAATGATAATACGGATGCTTTAATTGGCGATTCTCGATATTGAGAAAGGATTTAGTTTATTTTCGTGGAAATTACTTATGATTGAGTATTGGTGTTAACTGATATGAGTAGGAGTCGAGTTAAGATTGGTTATAGCTGATTCTCCATTTCCGGGACGTATTTACTTTTACTGTTGAATCCCTTGCCGGAATAGTGTAGTTTATTGTTGATCCCTTGCCGGGACACTTGGTATGGTTGTTGCTAAAGGGTATATATATATATATATATATATATATATATATATGGATCGGGTTGCAAGCCGCAATAGTATTAAATATGGATCGGGTTGCACGCCGCAACAATATTAAATATGGATCGGGTTGCACGCCGCAACAATATTAAATATGGATCGGGTTGCACGCCGCAACAATACTAAATATGGATCTGGTTGCACGCCGCAACAACGTTATATTGGATCGGTTTGCACGCCGCAATAATATTAAATATGGATCGGGTTGCACGCTGCAACAATACTAAATTTGGATCGGGTTGCACGCCGCAACAACGTTATATTGGATCGGGTTGCACGCCGCAACAATATTATATTGGATCGGGTCGCACGCCGCAACAGTGGTAAATGATAAGGGATCGGGTTGCGCGCCGCAACAGTATTATTATTGTTTGTTGTAGATTCTGAGTTGTTCTCTCATATTTCTCTTAAGTTCCTGCTGGATTTGACATTTTCCCCGTAGCATGTACCCCCCCTCCTATTTAAGTTGTTTATCCTATTATTTTCCGTTGTATATTATATAACTGCACAGGTTTATCTGGAGTCTGGTCCTAGCCTCGTCACTAACTCGCCGGGGTTAGGCCAGACACTTACCAGCACATGGGATCGGTTGTGCTGATGCTACACTCTGCACTATATGCAGATACCGGAGCAGTACTTGGGGAGCCAGCCTTCAGTCCATCCAGAGATCCCGAGGTAGTCCTGCAGGCGTCCGCAGGCCCGGCGATCTCTCCTATCTACTATATGTTCTGTTTTAACTTGTTTCCGAGACAGACTGTGTTCCCTTTTTCAAACACTTGTATGTAGTACTCATAGACAGTTCGTGATATTGTGACACTGGTTTCTGGGTAGAGGCGCATGTTGGCATTCTTGTACTGATTTTGGTATTAAATTAGACTAAGTCTTCCGCTTGATTTCATCTTTTGCTATTATTTAAATGTTGATCACCTGTTAATTCAAGTTGTTAAAAAGGATTGAAATGAAAGAGTTAGAATTTCTATATTTCTTGACTTGCCTAGCTTCTACGAGTAGGCGCCATCACGACCCCCGAGGGTGGAAAATCCGGGTCGTGACAAGTAAGATAGAAAATTATAACTAAGATTGATGAAGAAGTGACTATTGAATCTTCTTAATATATCACATAAATCATAAACATTATAAGAAAATGTTAATCAAGAGGGAAAAAGGCGAATTTTGTAATTTCTTATAAGAACAGTACAAGTAGATAATGGAATTGAGTTAATTATTTTAGGGAAGGATAATAATAGTTTTTAATTTTACAGAGGAATGAAAAACATGAATATGATAGAAAAAGAATAAAAGAATAAAATAATAACTAGAGAAGATAAAGAAAAAAAAAAAGAGGGATAAATAGTACTATCTACTATGAATGAATATGCATAAAAAAGTGATGACATTATATAACAGAATATTATCAAAATGGAAAAGATACTAAAAATTATAAGGAAAGGAAGGGCAGACAAAGAGAAAAAAAATAACAAGGGAACTTTAAAAATATCAAGAAAGTAATAAGAATATGATTAAATGAAAAACTTTTTTATTTGCTTCCTTCTATGAAATATATAAAATTGTGAAAGTAAAAACTTTTAAAAATATTTACTAGAAATCTTAATAACACAATTGAGATGGTGTATTACGTTTAAGTGTCTCTAACTGTGACCAAAGCGAGGTACACAGAAAGATTATGACAACCAAAGTACCTAATCCATATTTCTATCAACAAATTTCATCTAGAAGAAGAGTTGTTGTACTAAACACTTTAGATTTCCATTTGCTCTAAAGTTGCACATGCAGGCAATCTCCCTCGCCAGGCTAGTGTGATCTCTGTTACTCCCTTCAAAGACCCTGTGATTCCTTTCCCTCCACAATACATGCGTATACTCAGCATAGATCATCTTGAGGAGTTTAGCTGGTGGAGTTTTCCCCTTGGAGTATTGACAAACAAACTGGAGGTGTTCATTCCATGTAGTGTACTTTATGTTCTGAAGTTATGCCCACTGAATCAGTCTCCCCCATAGTTTTCTAGCATAATTACAATCAACAAACAGACGGTCTCTTGTCTCAGGATTGAATTGACATAGTACACAAGTATCATTCACATTAAGTCTCCATGTAGGAGACTTGAAATAAAAGCTGAGTTGGAGAATTATATGAAGGGAACAAAAAAAAAAGAGAGAGAAGAGAGATAGTAAAGCTGAGATGGGCAATTAATTAAATGTAGGGGAAAATGAGAGAAGAAAAAAAGTCTTTCTATGAAGCTAAATTTCAAGGATATTTGAATAGGTAATAAAGAGACTTTGCTAATGTACAAATCTCCAAAGCATCTAATACTCTTAAATTGCCAAAATGCATAAAGGGGACAGTTTAACTATTGAATAAAGCAAAAATGGAAGGGGAAAAAAGTCAAATGCATGAACTTTTTTATTGTTATCACACTTCATAAAAATAAATTATGAAATGGTTCATGCATTTGGTTATCGCACTTCCTAAAATAAATTATGAAACGGAACTTTTTGGCCATTGAATTATCCAATTCGGGATAAGGGAAATCTAAATAATTCAACAAATTCCTTAAACAAAAGCGTTTTCCACAACAAAACAAAATAAAGGGAGGGAACTCGCATATCAAGCGTCTAAAGAAAAATATAATAAAGTTGTTTCGCCAATATTTCTTATTTCTTAAACTTGGCGCGACAAAGGAAATAATAGATGTGTATTTTTTGCTAAGTTACAGTTCAAGAAATAAAATAATTAGTTTAAAGAATTCATTTCTCTCGTATTTTAAATGGTATTTCGTTATTGCAAATGGTCTATACCGCAATATACCGTTAAAGTCAGTTTGGTGCAGCATTCTTGAGCGAACAGGCTGAGCCCAATTCTCCTTTAACATTTGGGATCTTTAAACAAATAATCGATCATATTCACTGTTTATTTTTTTCTAGTCATATACATTGATTATACATAATTATATACAACAACAACAACAACAACAACAACAACCCAATGTAATCCCACAAGTGAAGTCTGGAAAGGGTACGCGGCCTTACTCTTACCCTGAGTGGGAGACTGTTTCCGATAGACCTGCGACTAAAGAAGATGGAAGAATCACTGATAGCAACTAATAGCAAGACATTATATTCAGAAAACTAAAACGAAAATAGCAATAGAGAATATGAAAGAAGTACCGATAGCAAGTAATAGAAAGACAATATTTAGAAAACTAATCCAAGATATCAATAGAGAATATGAAAGGAGTACTGATAGCAAACTAAGGAGGTACTGATGGCAAGTAACAACAGAACAAGATATGCGATAATAGCAAACTAAGGATAAAAGGCGTACCATACTAACACTAATACTATTGAACTACTGAAGACAAAGGAAAACGTACGACTACCTACTAACCTTCTACCATCATTCTCAACCTGAACACCCTCATATCCAGGGTCATGTCCTCGATTAGCTCAAGCTGTGTCATGTCCCGCCTGATCACCTTTCTCCAAGACTTCTTTGGCCTACCTCTACCCTTCCTCTTACCCCCTCCCCCCCAGGTCAACCTCTCACACCTCCTGGCTGGGGGCATCTGTCTTCTCCTTCTAACATGCCCGAACCATGTCAGCCTCACCTCTCGCATCTTTTCCTCCACAGGGGTCACTCCCACCTTGTCCCAAATAACTTCATTCCTAATTCTATCTAACCTACTATGCCCATAGAGCCATCTCAACATCCTCATTTAAGCTATTTTCATCTGTTGGACATGGGAGTTCTTGACTGGCAATCACACTATCCCATACAACAGTCGGTCTAACCACTACCTTGTAGAACTTATCCTTACGTCTCAATGGCACATTCTTGTTGCACATGACACCAAAAGCGAGCCTCCACTTAATCCACCCGGCTCCGATACGATGTGTAACATCCTCATCAATCTCCCCATAATTCTGAATTATAGATCCCATATACTTGAAACTCTCTCTCTGGGAATGACTTGCGTATCAAGCCTCACATCCCCGTCCGCTTCCTGGGTAACACCGTTGAACTTGCACTCCAAGTATTCTGTCTTGGTCATGCTCAACTTGAAACTCTTAGACTCAAGGGTATGTCTCCAGACCTCCAGCCTCTCGTTAACACCACCTCGCGTCTCATCAATCAGGACTATGTCATCTGCAAATAACATGCACCAAGGTACCTCCCCTTGAATGTGTCGCATCAATGCACCCAGTACCAAGGAATATAAAAATGGGCTAAGTGATGATCCCTTATCCAACCCCATCTCAACCGAAAAGTATTCAGAGTCTCCTCCTGTTGTCCTAACCCGTGTATTAGCTCCATCATACATGTCCTGGATCACTCTAATATATGCTACAGGCACTCTTTTAGCCCCCAAACATCTTCATAGAACCGCTCTTAGGACTTTTTCATAAGCTTTCTCTAGGTCAATAAACACCATATGCAAGTCCTTCTTCATAGCCCTATACTGCTCCACAAATATCCTCACAATGTGAATGGCTTCAGTAGTTGACCGTCCCGGCATGAAACCAAACTGGTTCTCGGAAATAGACGCACTCCTCCTCACCCCCCCTTATATCACCCTCTCCCAAATTTTCATCGTATGGCTTAACAACTTGATACCCCTATAGTTGTTGTAGTTTTAGATATCCCCAACGGAATCATCCTACTCCGCCTCCACTCTTCAAGCATCTTCATCGTCCTAAAAATGACGTTAAACAACATAGAGATCCATTCCAAGCTTGTCTTACCCACGCTCTTCCAAAATCCCACAGGGATCTCGTCTGGACTGGTCGCTCTACCCCTACTCATCCTACGCATAGCCCCTTCAACCTCCCCTACTCGTATGCGTCTATAGTACCCAAAATCTTGATGTCGCTCTGAGTACTCCAATTCACCCAGCACAATGCTCCTATCTCCCTCTTCATTCAAGAGTTTATGGAAGTATGACTGTCATCTCTGCCTAATATGTGCCCCCTCCAACAAAACTCTACTCTCCTCATATTTTATGTACCTCACTTGGTCCAGATCTCGGGCCTTCCTCTCTCTCACCTTCACCAGCATATACAATTTCTTGTCCCCGCCTCTAACCCCAATTTCTTCATATAAACGACCAAATGTCACGGTCTTAGCCGCAGTAACTGCTAACTTCTCCTCCTTCCTAGCCTTCTTATACCCCTCCATGTTAGCTCTCTTCTGCCCCTCGTCTATGCTCTCTACTAGCTTCAAATATGCCGCTTTCTTTGCTTCCACTTTCCCTTGAACCTCTTCGTTCTACCACCAATCACCTTTGTGGCCACCAGAAAAACCCTTTGAGACCCCTAACACCTCTCTCGCCGCCTCTCTAATACAATTCGATGTTGTAGTCCACATACAACTCGCATCTCCGCTACTCCCCAGGCCCCCATATCCAGCAACTTCTCCCCCAACTCCTAGGCTTTGTCCTTAGTTAATGCACCCCACCTGACCCTAGATAGACCAGACATAACCCTCTTACTCCTCGTCCACCTGAACTCTAAGTCCATTACCAAAAGCATATGCTGGGTCGTAAGATTAAAACTCGGGATGACCTTGAAATTCGTGCATAAACCTCTATCACATTTTCTACGGAGTAGACAATCAATCTGGGTCTTGGCCACCGTCCTCCGGAAGGTTATCAGGTGTTCCGCCTTCTTCGGGAAACACGAGTTAGCAATCACCTAATCAAAAGCTTTAGCGCACTCCGGTAACGAAGTACCTCCTCCGTTTCTATCTCCAAAATGAAAGCCACCATGCACACCATCATACTCCCCCCAGACAACCTCCCAATATGGCCGTTAAAATATCCTCTTATAATAAGCTTCTCGGTGGACGGTATACCATCCAAATCCTCCCAGAAGCGCCTTTTAACCTCCTCGTCCAAACCCACCTGAGGCACGTAACTGCTCATGTCACGACCCAAAATCCACTAAAGGTCGTGATGGCGCCTAACACCGTCATCAGGCAAGCCAACAATGAATGATTAACTTAATTACTCATATTAGTATTTTTAAAATCATAACTTTTTCATCAATTAAATAGTAAGAAATAGAATTTACAGGGTAAATAATAATATTTTCACAATTACAATAATGAACAACCCGCAAGCAGCCCCAAAACCCGGTGTCACAAGTGCATGATCATCAACTAGGATATATGATAAAATACAACATCTGTCTAGAATACAAATTAGACTGGAGAATGTAAATAACTCTGATGGAGACTCCATATGATGCGGACCCGTAACATGGGATATAGCTCACCTAAGTCCCCGCAATAGCCGCGCCTGTGCGCCCACAAGACCATTAGACATATATGTACCTGCACAAAATATGCAGCAAGTGTAGTATGAGTACGTAAATCAACGCGTACCCAGTAAGTATCTAGTCTAACCTCGAAGAAGTAGTGATGAGGGGTCGACTCCGACACTTACTATGGGCTAACAATAAAATACCGATATCATAATTAAGCATGGAATATGTAAAAATAGCTGAAAACCCAATAACAAGAAATAAGTAAACAGTTCTTTCACTGTTAGTATATCCCAAATTAATCCTAATCATTTAAAAAATTTATTTCTCAAGCCAATGAAACAATATCGATTATAATTGGACTCCAAGAATTTTTACGCACGAATTATGCCGAGGTCGTACGGCCCGATCCAACATACAAATATAAAAAATTGTGCACTGCCGAGGGTCGAACGGCACGAACCATAGACGCATCTATCTACTACCGAGACGTTCGGCCCACTCCACGAGAAGAGAAAATACTTTATAAACAGCCGATTCGAGATTTATTAAGAGGCTAATATTCAAAGAAACACCAATTCTCAATAACGGTCAAGTGACCCGTCCAAAATTCAAGTAAATGAAATTTAACCTTTTACAATTCCTTTATCAAGTTCCAATATGATTTAAGCAATTAAATTAACAAGTAGGGTGCAAACATCACAAATATAACATGGTCTGGGTCCTAGAATACCAGGACATAAGCATAACTAGTAGCTACGTACGGACTCTCGTCACCTCGTACGTACGCAGCCCCCACAAATAGAAGCACATATTAATTCAATTCACCTATGGGGTTAATTCCCTCTTACAAGGTTAGAAAAGAGACTTGCCTCGTTCCGAAATTTCATAGCCAGCTCCAGCGCCACTCTAACACCTCAAACCAATGCTTGACGGTCCAAAACTATGCAAACAATGTGCAAGCCAATCAAAATGTGTTCTAATACCCATAATTAATACATTTAAACAATTTCCAACTCCGCTTGAAAAGTCGATAAAATCACCCTCGGGCCCACGTGCCCGGATTCCAAAAAATTTCGAGAATAAACATTATCCATAACATTACGAACTCAAATATGTGATTTTTTTCCCAAGCTCGTATCCCATTTCGTGATCAAAATCTAAAAATACCAATTTCTAGGTTTTTCTTCAAAATCCCAAATTTCTACTAATTTCCATGTTTATATCCATATATAAACCACGTATTTAACTTCTAATAGGTGGGAATCACTTATCTTGCATTAGATGATGAAAATACCCCCTTGAAGAGCTCCAAAAATCGACCAAGTCGTGTGGAAAATGGGTGAAATGAACCCAAACCCCGTTTTAAAACCAGTCTGCCCAGCTACTTCCTTCATCGCATTCCCGTCACCTTGGCCGCATTCGCAAAGCCTTGTGACCACCACCCTTCGCGTTCGCGGTCCACTAGCCGCGTTCGCGAAGGCCAAACTGCTCCAGGACCCGCTCCCTCTTTCTTCTATGCGTTCGCGGCAGCCCTATCGCGTTCGCGTAGGCTGTTCCAGGCCCTCTTCCGTGTTCGCGACCCCTGTGTCGCGTGCACGATGAACAAAAATCAGCAGTCCAAAATCCTTCTTCTCGAACGCGGGAATCCCTTCGCGTTCGCGAAGGACAAAACCAGAACTAGCAACAGTAGCAGCCAAAACAGCCAGAATTGGTCCGAACCCCCCCTCCCGAAACACACCCGAGGCCCTCCGGACCCCGTCCGATCACACCAACTAGTCCCAATACATAACACAAACCTGCTCGAGGCCTCAAATCACACCAAACAACATCAAAACCATGAATCGCACCCCAATTCAAGCTTAATGAACTTTAAAACTTCAAACTTCTACATTCGATGCCGAAACCCATCAAATCACGTCCAATTGACCTCAAATTTTGCGCACAAGTCACATTTGACATTACGGTCCTACTCCAACTTCCGGAATCGGAATCCGACCCCGATATCAAAAAGTCCACTCACGGTTAAACTTCCAAAAACCTCCAACTTCCAACTTTCGCCAAATGACCCCAAAATAACCTACTGACCTCCAAATCTACATCCGCATGCGCTCCTAAGACAAGAATCACCATACGGAGCTATTCTTAGGCTCGGAAATTCCAAACGGACATCGATAGCATTAAAATACACTTCAACCCAAATTTATGAAATCCTTCCAAAATTCCAACTTTCCACAATAGTCGCCGAAACGCTCCCGGGTCATCCAAAACTCGATCCGGACATGCGCCCAAGTCCAAAATCATCATACGAACCTGTTGGAGCCTTCAAATCTCGATACTGAGGTCGTTTACTCAA